TATTCATTCATGTCTTGCGTAATTCTATTTAATTGCATGGAGGATTTCATCATGAGCTGACATCAGTTAAAGAACCATTAGAAAACCTGCAGGGAGTACTGGACAGTTGTTTCGTCCTAGTTTGGGACTCTTCATCAGTACGCACCCACCACAGGGGGGTTCGAGCCAAGGACTTTCTGGTTACAAGGCTAGCGAGCTCGTAGACCATTGAGCCACTGGGACCCAATCCAATAATGGCCAACTCATGAATTCTAACTTCTGCCAATTCACGACATAGCGCAACCATTTCGCAATGTCTTCTTCTATGAGTTACTGCCTCATCTCCAACCTGCTGTACCCTACTGGTCACGGCTTCCCACTAGAACTTCAGGTTAACTGCCTGAATAGGGCCAGTCACTAGTGAGCATCACACTAATTTTCAAGTCCCAGACTAGGACGAAACAGCTGTCCAGTACTCCCAGGTTTTCCAGTGGTTCTCTAACTGATGTCAGCTCATGATGAAGTCCTCTATGCAATCAAACAAAATCCCTACAAAACCAATACTTGATAATTCTATTTAGTCATTCTGTTCTTTGTAGACATCAATGCTATTTTACAAATTTCTTGATTACGTAATAACTTGTTGTCAACCCCTGCATCTCCTTTGAAACTTTGATATCTTGTTACTAACATCCACTAATGAGATATAAAATAGAAGTGCTGGGAATCTGCGAGAGCAGATGGAACGGATGCGGAAGGTGCCAACTACCAACTGGAGAGACAATAATCTACTCCGGTCACCCAGAGGACGATCACGAGCACACCGATGGAGTAGCCATCATAATGTCACCAACAGCGGCTAAAGCTCTCATGCAGTGGTAACCAATCTCCTCCAGGATAATGACAGCCAGGTTCAACTCAAAAGGAAAAAAGGTTACAATCATTCAATGCTACGCGCCTACAAACGTCTCAGAACAAGAGAAGAAGGAGGATTTCTACAGTCAACAACAAACAGTAATGGATAACGTCCCAAAGAGCGATATCAAAATCCTGATGGGTGACATGAATGCGAAACTGGGAGGAGACAATACAGGAAGAGAACTCACCATGGGTCGTGAAGCCCTCGGTGAAATGAACGAAAATGATGAACTCTTCTCAGACTTCTGCGCCTTCAATGATTTGGTGATTGGTGGCAGTGTGTTCAAACAAAGGGATATACACAAGGCAACATGGATCTCACCAGATGGACACACCAAAAACCAGATAGACTTCATTTCAATCTCAAGGAAGTGGAGACGGAGCCTACTGGACACAAGATCGAGGAGAGGAGCAGATGTGGGTTCAGACCACTATCTAGTACAAGGGACATTCAAGGTGAAGCTAAAAGCCCCGAGGATACCTGGGGATAGGCCACAATGCAAGTCCAACACGCAAAACCTGAAGGACACAATCACACAGGACATTTTCACTGCAACTGTCAGAGCAAAGCAGGAAACACTACCTGGCACCACTGAGGCATCATCCGTGGAAGACCATTGGAACTCTCTGAAGGTGATTTTCAACGAAACGTGTTCAACGGTTTTAGGAAGAAAGAAGAAACAAGATAAGGAATGGCTCTCAACGGACACTTGGAAGCTAATACAGGAGAGGAGAATGGTGAAAGAGAAAATGATTCAATGCAAAGATGGACAAGAGAAAGAGACACTGAGCTCAACTTACACAGCACTGGACAAAGAAGTGAAGAAAAGTGCCAGGAAGGACAAAAGACAATTCTACGACAACCTGGCTACTGAAGCTGAGAAGGCAGCAGGCAAAAGGGACCAAAGGACACTATATCAGATAACCAAGTCCCTATCCGGGAAGAGATGAACACAAGTGAAACCTATAAAAGACAGCCAAGGGAACCCAATTACCAAAGAAGAAAGACAGATAAAACAATGGGCAGACCACTTCAAAGGACGCTTGAACCGACCACCACCTACAACCCGTCCAGAAATACCAACAACAGCACGTACACAACTGCAAGTTGACGCCAATCCTCCAACGAAAGCTGAAGTATGGAGGATTTCATCATGAGCTGACATCAGTTAGAGAACCACAGCTCATGATGAAATCCTCCATACAATTAAAAAAAATCCCTACCAAACCAATACTTGAAAGCTGAAGTCTTGAATGCAATCAAGCTTCTGAAAGCTGGAAAAGCATCTGGACCAGATGAAATACCCCCGGAAGCACTGAAAGCGGACCCAGAGACGACAGCAGATATGCTGACTCCATTATTGCAAAAAGTCTCGAAGGAGGGAAAGGTGCCTACTGACTGGAAGAAAGGTTACCCCGTGAAACTACCAAAGAAGGGCGACCTAGGACTCTGCAAGAACTGGCGAGGAATCATGCTCCTGTCGACGCCAAGTAAAATTCTGAGTCGCATCATCCTGGAGAGAATAAAGGACGTACTGGATACAGAATTCCGACCATAAGAAGCTAGAATCAGGAAAGGCAAATCATGTTCTGACCAAATTGCAACTCTACGCATCATCATCGAACAAAGCATGGAATCGCTATCAAAACTCTACCTCAACTTTATAGACTTTGAGAAGGCATTTGACAGCGTTGAGCGCGAAGTAACTTGGAAACTACTCGAGTACTACGGCGTACCCCAAATATTCATCAACCTTACTCAACAGGTGTACGACAACGGCACATGTCAAGTGATCCACAACGGAAAACTCAGTGAGGTGTTTGGAGTAGACACAGGAGTCAGATAAGGGTGCTTATTATCACCAATGATATTCCTAATTGTCGTGGACTGGATTGTGCGTAAGACAGTGGGAAACGAGAAGACAAGGATATCATGGGCCGACGTGAAGAACCTAGAAGACCTGGATTTCTCGCGTGGATGATTCATGTTTGATGTCACACAAAATCGAAGACTTACAAGCGAAAACCGACAAACTGGTCGAATAGGCTGGCAGCAAAGACAGGACTCCAGGTGGTAAAAGACAAGACGGAGGTTATGAAAATAACCAACCAACAATAACAACAACAACAGCAACATCCACCGCCAATCACCATCAACGGGAGGGATTTGAAAGAGGTTACTTCATTGACTTATCTAGGGAGCATTGTCTCAACTACAGGAGGAACGGACGAAGATGTCAAATCGAGAATCGGGAAGGCGAGAAACACATTCATCAACCTGAAACCAATCTCGAAATCTTCGTCACTCAGCATCAACAACAAAATTCTAATTTTTAATACAAACGTCAAGTCAGTTTTGCTATACGGATCAGAAACTAGGCGGCGGGTCACCAAGAATATTTCCAATAGGTTGCAGACCTTCATCAACAACTGTCTTCGCTCTATATTGAAAATCAAATGTCCGGAAAGAATCACAAACAAGAAGCTATGGGAACAAACAAAACAGGAGCCAATCGCTCAACAAATATGCAGGAGAAAGTGGAGATGGATTGGACACTCGCTGAGGAGGCCGTTGGGTGACATCGCGCGTCAGGCCCTCGATTGGAACCCGAAAGGGAAGCGGCGAGTGGGACGTCCAAGGGTGACATGGAGGAGATCGTGTGAAGAGGAGTTGAAACAGTATGGATTAACATCGAACGCAAGTGAAAAGTACGGCAGAAGACAGAAGCAGGTGGAGGTGTGCAGTTGAAGCCCTATGTTCCACTAGGAACCCAAGGGAACAATAATAATAATAACATCCACTAATTAATTGTGTGTTGATGACTTTTAACCTCTAAATTTCACCATCCACCACCTACACATAAAACTGATCATTCTTATGGACTACAATGAAAACCAGCGTTAGGCGTCGAGTGCTAGGTAAAGAGGGGAAATCAATCGACGAAGCTGTAAAGCTACATCGAATGAGATGGTCAGGACACGTGTTACACATGCATGCCTAGGCATCGCCTGCCTCGACAACTGGCAATGTTAGCTGACATAGGGTCAGGTTAGAAAAGAGCCAGCTAGTGGTGGTCAAACGAAAACATGGCTTCATCAGTCAATGAAATCCACAACAGTTAGTTAACACCAGCCAGTCACGTAGGAAGGTGTAGACTTACTGACTAGCTGGTTGGAGTCCTCGGGACGGTAAACACCAATGGCTGGAGACAGAGAATTAGTGATATGGCTCAAAATCGTTGTCAATGGCTGACGCAGATGCTTCCAAAAAAAACTATATGGTTCTTCAATATTACTATGGTTTTTACCTTATTTCTCTGTTTACTGTCTCTATTTTGCATTTCTTTTTACTTTCTTCTTCTTTGCTTTGTGTGCTGAGTGAAGCGAGGCGACTCGAACTGCTGCACATCGGTGCAAAGTTCTATGATGAAACCAGTCATTCAGTTAGTCAGTCAGCCAAGACCTCGAGGAATATTACTTCCAGTCAATGTAGGATCACTGGTTCATTGAGAGATGCCAGCCCGACACCACCACCACCCAGTTAAGGTAGCAGCTATCGATCAGAATGCTCAAAGGTGATTAAAAAAAGAAAATTTAAAAATATATATAATTGAACCTCACTGGTCACGACTTCTCACTAGAACTCCAGGAAACTCTATCCTGTAGCAAGTCACTAGCTAGCGTCAGATTAATTTTCTATAGTTTGGTTTGTAAGGGTTTGTTATGTTTTTACGAGTTGATCACGGATTGATATCAGTTAGAGAACCATTGAAAACCAGCACTAGAGCACTGGACAGCTGCCGTTTCATCCTACTTTTAGGAATCATCGGCAGTACGCGCCCCCTGGCATGGTTCGAACCCAGGACCTTCCGGTTACAAGGCTAACGAGCTAGTATACCATTCAGCCACTGGGACCCGATTCAATGGCTCTTGAATTCTAACTTCTACCAATTCGTGATTTAGTGCGACCCCAACCCTGGCTTTCAATGGTTCTCTACCTGATATCAATCCGTGATCAACTCGTAAAAACATAACAAACCCTTACAAACCAAACTATAGAAAATATATATAAAACAAAAGTAAAGACAAAATGCAAAACCAACCTTCAGTGATACTATATGGTTCTTTTTCAACAATATGACATTGAATATTTCCATCATTATCATCATCATCATCATTTGGTAGAGGGATATTTTCATCAATATTTCTAGACAATCGATTCATCTGACCAGGTAAATATGATTGATTCGATGCAGTCAGAGGAATCTCTTTATCACATGATGCCGCTGCTGATGCATGTTCTGTTGTTGTTGTTGTCGGCGGCGGTGGTGGTTGCGGTTGTGGTGGTGATGGTGGTGACGGTGGTGTTGTTGTTGTTGTTGCCAATGCATGTAAATCTGTAACAATTGGTTGTGAATGTAATCTTGACGGTTTTTCTTTACAATAATGAATGTGAATAGGTTTCACTGGTTCATCAGACACTGTACTAACATGCTTTATATCTTTATTAATATTATCAGTAATATTTATGGGTAGATTTGTAGAATTGTAAATATTCTGTGTAATTATACGATTGTCATCTGTACCAATATAGAATTGATGAATCATTGGTAAAGTTGGCGCTGAACTTTCTCTTTGCATGCATAACATGATATTACAGTTAGTATTATTATTATTATTATTAATATTGGTACAGTTATTAAAGCGAATGACAAATTTCACTTAGGTGTGCTCTAAATGATTTCATGTTTGAATGTAGACCAATTTTTATTCTGTGAGAGAAGTGAACAAAACAACAACAACAACAAAATAAAAAAATTCTGTTCTTTTTTTTCTTAACAAAATAAGAATAACATTTAGATACGTTGATTGGACACTAGTAGTTAGTAACTAATGGAATGGAATGGAATGTGTCTAGCCCTTCACTATCAGTCAGTCAAGTTTGCAATGTGGTCACCATACCCACTGTGTGGGGCTTGCAATCACGGTGCATTTTAAATTGTTGAATATATATTAGATGGTTGGAGGTAATCAGTCATAGGAAGCTTTGCTTGGTTTAGGTTTCGTGCCAGCTGGCAGTCACCTGTTTGTCTGTCTGGATTCAACATAGAACTTCGCACTGAAGTGCAGCAGTTCCAGTTGCCACGTTCCAAATAGCACACAAAAATATACGAGAAAATGAGTGATGAAGAGAATCAATAGAGTTTTGACAAGTATAAGAGTGAAACAGAATGAGTAATGGTAGAAAGGAATATGAAAGATTACAGAGACTGAATACATCTGCATAAGCCATTGACAACGATTTTGAGCCATGTCACCTATTGTCTCCAGCCATTGATTCTTAGAGTCCCGAGGGCCACAACCCGGAAGTCTGCATCTCCCTACCTGACTCAGTTTAACTGTCAAGGATTTCATGGATTGATGAGGCCATGTTTTTGTTTGGCTGCCGCTTACTCTTTTCCAACCAACCTGCACCTATATCAGCTAGTAATGCCCGTCAGTCGGGGGAGTCGATGGTTAGGCATGCGCAGCACGTCACCTAGCCATCTCAATCTATGTAACTTTATAGCCTCGTTGATTGATTTTCCCTCTTTGCCTAACACTCTACGCCTAACGTCAACATTACTTACCTTATTATGCCACCTAACGTGAGAAAGAGATCGTAAACATCTATGATCAAAAACAGTCAACCTTTTCATGTCTTCAACTCGTATTGGCCATGTTTCAAAGCCATAGAGGAGGATGGAGCGAACTGCTGAGTAGTACACACGTCCCTTGGTTGATAGTCGGATGTCACGCCTACGCCAGAGATGGTGTAAGTTAGCGAAAGCAACTCGAGCTTTTTGGATCGCCAACCAGTCAGTTGGTGCTGATACAACTTCCCAAATAGGTGAAGTGGTCAACATGTTCTATCACTTCACTCCCTATCACTAAGCTAGGAGTTGACGTAGTCCAGTCCTGTAGCAGCATCTTACATTTTACAGGGGCGAATCGCATGCCAAACATACGAAGATTGCTGCTGAAGGTGTTCAGAAGACTCTGCTCTATTTTGTCAGCATCCTCCCCTAACAGGACTATGTCATCTACATATTCTAAGTCCATAAGACTGGCAGTCACCAGTCAGTTAGCAAGCTGTGTATCTGCAATGTAAGGTGATGCGGGTTCGAATCTCAGAAGAAGGGACACGCCATGCTAACTGGTGAGTACCAACCAGCAAGAAACCTAGGTTAAGCAAGGCTTCATGTGGCCGATTGCCTCCAACTATCGAATACCAACCAGTGGATAACTTCATTATTTGATTTTCTCAATGATACTATGATCCACTACTTTCAAACATACTAAATGAAGATACAGTTTATTGGATATTTTTACATACATACATACATATTTAATCCCAAGGGTGAAATTTATCCACATTTCCACATCATCTAGCACCTACATAATACATAAAAAGAAGTGATGATCGATTTTATCCACATGCCATTCACATAAATACCTTTAATTTTCTTTTTTCTTGACTAAACAAACATCTGATACTGTTCTATTGTTCTTTTTTAACACACTGTACATTTATGGATTCCCGATAAGTACATACACTATTACCATCATATGATATGAAATATCAAGAAGCAAAAAAAAAGAAGGGAAAACACAATTTACGAATCAAAAAGATAATTCATGGTAACATTTTCATTACAAAACACAGTAGAATACAATACACGTATAAGGAAAAGAAAATATCATCAATCCCTGGTCCATTATATTTACTTATTTATTTATTTAGTTATTCATTAATATATTCAGACAATCATCGATAACCAAAACACGAAAACATGCACCGGAGAGAAAAAAAAACAAACAAAACATCAACAAAGACAAGACTGATTATCGAGCAGAATACTTCTTAACTTTGAGATATTCGGAAGTTTTCACACACACACACACACACTCGTACACAAAAAAATACAACAGAGATACATATGCAAAATAAAAGAATTAATTAGAGCGATGTAGAAAATCAACTGCTATTTAAGACGTATACTGAATAAACTCCTTGTGTAATTCTAAGCTGTGTTACCTTCAAACGTATGTAACCATCAATCAGGCGAAAAGAGATTAGCTCAATATGGCAGTAGTAAATATGCTTTTATTCATAAAACTAGAGGAAGTGGATAGAGACGACTAACGGAGATATCATTCATAAGATGTAAAACATTTTTTGAACTATCCTTTCAAAAAGTATCCGAGTTATCGATTGTTATTATTTTTCATCCTTTGGGTTCAGAGTGGAACACAGGGTTTCATTCTATGCTGTTCTCTTCAGTCCTTTTTTACCTTGCTTCACGATTGCCCATACAACCTCATCTTCTCCTTATCACGCCACCCTCGGTCGGTCGGTTGGTTTTCGGCATGGAACTTTGCACCGATGTGCGACAGGTCAAGTCGCCACACTTCACTCAGCAAACAAAGCAAGAGAAGAAAGTAGAAGAACTGCATAATATAGACAGTAAACAGAGGTGTGAGACAAAGGAATAGCAATAATGAAGAACAAAACAGTTTCATTGGAAATCATAAGTCACAAGTGGATACATCTGCTCCGTTGAGAACGATTTTGAGCCATGTCACCAATTGTTTCCAACCATTAGTTTTTATCGTCCCGAGGACCCCAACCAGTCAGGAAGTCTACACCTTCCTACGTGACTGGCTTAGACTAACTGTTGTAGATTTCATTGACTAGTGCCGTGTTTTCGTTTGACCGCCGCCAGCTCTTTTCCAACCTGACCCTATGTCAGCTAACATTTCCCGTCGAGGAAGGCGATGACTAGGCATACGTAACACATGTCCTAACCATCTCAGTCGATGTAGCTTTACAGCCTCGTCGATTGATTTCCCCTCCTCACCTAGCATTTGACGCCTAACCTCAATATTGCTCACCTTATTATACCACTTCACGCGGGAGATAGAACGCAGACACCTATGATCAAAGACAGCTAGCCAGTCTTTCCTTGTCTTCCGCTCTCAATGACCAGGTCTCACAGCCATAAAGGAGGATGCAGCGGACTGTTGAGCAGTACACACGCCCTTTGGTCGATAGTCGGATATCACGTCTACGCCACCCTCAGATGCCTGATTCGTCGTTTACCATTCGGTTGCTAGTCGAGCGACCGATTCATGATGTCACTCAACGGTCTCCTAAGTTATATGCTAGGACTGCAATACTTCAGTGACTCATTGAGGTGGATGCTCAATTTCCAACTAATAAGATACTTATCAGAAACTATCCCAATCACCAAGGTCTATGCCGTCTATGCCTAGTCATCGCCTTCTCGACAATGGGCAATGTTAGCTGATATAGAATCAGGTTGGAAAACAGCCAGCTAATGGTGGTGAAACGAAAACATGGCTTCATCAGTCAATGAAATCCACAACAGTTAGTTTAAGCCACGTAGGAAGGTGTAAACTTCCTGGTCGGGGTTCTCGGGACGGTAAAAACCAATGGTTGGAAACAATTGGTGATATGGTTCAAAATCGTTCTTAATGGCTGGCGCAGATGCATCCACTCCTTGTGACTTATGATTTCCAATTACAGTTTTTTGTTCTTCATTGTTACTGTTCCTTTGTCTCACACTTCTGTTTACTGTCTTTATTATGCATTTCTTCTCTTGCTTTGTGTGCTACATGGAGTGTGGCGACTTGAACTGCCGCACATCGGTGCAAAGTTCCATGTCGAATACAGACAGACAGACAGATAGATGCCGTCTGACGTCACGACAAGCCACACAATAAAAGTGGCATGTATCAGAGGGTCAATGGTAGAATGCACGCCAACCACTCACTTGATGCAGGTTCAATTCCCGGACAACTTACTCCTAAACCTCCATTAGCCGATAGCAAACCTGATAAAAGGAAGAGGACAGGTCCTGAAGCTGGCAATCCCACCCCGTAAAAATTATAAAACCACTAATAAAACCTCTAAGCTTCACCTTGGAGTCATATGTCCCACTGAGAATGCAAAGGAAAGAAAAAACATCTCCAAGCACGAGTGAAAATGATCCAATTAATTAAACATTTTGTCTACTAAACATTAATCGGCACCCATAACGTAGCATACAGTTTCAGTCCGAATGTTATAGCAAAATTAACGAGAAATGAGGAAACTAAGCAATCAGTTTAAATCTCACCCGTTTGGGAGTAGTGCTAATAGCTAACTGTATACCATCATTCTACTTAAGGTGTTTTTCGGATGTACATTTCAGTATGTTGATAACCTTGCGGGAACACTTCCCCCTTACAAGCACTGAACAAAAAAGATTCGACGAGTTTTAGATTACAATAGGTGTGATGAAGTTAGAACAAACGACAAAGGATGAATATGTGACAACTGTATGCACAATCTGAACAAAATCCAGCCAGATATTCTTGTATCTGTTTATACACCTCCTACAGAGCCAAAGCATATTTCGCTATTGGATAAGATGTACACAACCAAACTAAGACGATGGAAGATATTGCAGATACATGGTTGTATTATATCGCTCAGTATAATGGGTCCAAGATACAGCAAAAAGGACGACATTCAGTCACCCCCCACGTACAAACCTCTGATAAACCTCTGTACTTACGTTGAAAATCTATTGTTC